ATGTTTAATTTTTCTCAGTTTTTGTAAGGGTTATTTTATTAATGATATAAAAAAAAACTGTGCAATAATAAATCAAAAAATAAGCAGCAAACACAAAAGTGGATATTCTCTCAATTATATACTATTTAATTTTTTTTTAAAAAAAAGTGTGTTGCGCTGTCAATACATTACCAATTTGTGCAATTAGAAAATATTAAATGTATATAATATGTCCACAGCAATTATAACATGTGACAAAAATGTAACACATAAAGTGACTGAAAAAAATGTGTGAAAAAAAAATTAATTATAAAGGTAACTTCCCTTTAGATAAATATATGGTGATAAAAAAGAAAAACATACTGCTCTTTTAAGATTCAACATGGACTCCTGAAGTAATTTCTCCCAAAATTACTCAAATGTCCCAATTCACATGTAGCATGAACATGTGCACTCCTCTTCTTCCTTTCTTAGAATAGTGTCCTCTCCCAATGCAAAAAATGTAAAAAACATGTACACATGAATTGGGACATTTGAGTGATTTTGTTAAGACGGTGAGAAATTAATCTTTGGAGAAATTGGAGATCTTATAGCATGAACACCCTATGTGACTGTGAAAGGGGACTAAGTATTGTATAGCTGATTTGGACTTGGGTTCCCCATATACTTCTGTATCCTCACAGGGGGGAAAGAATTATCCTGGCAGCCGGAAACTTTCTACCAATTTTTGTATTTAATTGTATTTTGTGGATTTGGTTGATCTTTCATATACATCCTCTGGGGTGGTAGTAATCATAGGTAATTCCTGGGCGGTATCTCAATACACAGTGTATTCCCGCTCACAGCTGAATGTAAATAGAATTGTTCGGCATTGTCTGACAAGCAAACATTTATTTTTATAAAAATGGCCTGGGGTCCCCCCTCCATCCCATACCAAGCCTTTGGGTCTGGCATGAATTTTGAGGGGGAACCTCCATGCCAAAATGTAAAAAAAATGGCTTGGGGGTCCCCCCCAAAAATCCTTAAAAGACTCCTTTATTTGAGCATTACAGTCCAGCAAGTTCAAGAAAGGGTGGGGACGAGCAAGCCGCCCCCCCCTGGAACCATAGAGGGCTACATGCCCTCAACATGGGGGGTGCTATTGGGGGAAGGGGGCTCCTCCCCCCAAAGTACCTTGTCCCCTGTTGATGGGGACAAGGACCTTCTTCCACATACAAACGTGGCCAGTGGTTGTGGGGATCTGTGGGCGGGGGGCTCTTTATCGGAATCTTGACAGGCTCCTTTAACCCTCCTATGTAAATGAGTATGCGGGGTACATGGGGTACCGCTACACATTCAGGAAAAACAAAAAGTGTAGTGTAAAAAAAGAAGAGTTTTTGACAAGTCCTTTATTGAAATAAAAAGTTAAAAAATAAATGTCCCTCAAAGTAGATCAACATTAGTCAGGATACCTTCTGCTGCCGCTACAAGAAATAAGGGGGAAATAAAAATACCCCGCTCTGCTCGCATAGCTGGCTTCTGTCCATCTGACAGCTGCGCCTTGATGACAGTTCTTAAATACTGTCCATGACGTCACAAGGGGGCGGCAGTTCACCCTGCCCTCTTGTGTGACATCATCATGTGAGCTGTGATGGCCAATGCATTGCACCTGACCTGTGGTCAGGTGCATTGCTTTGACAAATCACAGTGCACTGTCAGAGAGCGAAGTGCATTGTGGAGTACGGCAGGCGAACAGCCCACAGCGAAACACACGACACGGTCTGTGTTTAAGTCAATCAAGTCGACTTAAACACACAGACTCCAACACTAATAGTAAATCTAATCTGCTTAATACCTTTTCTCATCAGCAGTTTAGAGCAGTCTTGTGACTTCTTATCAGTGTCCAGCCAAGCACTGGTTAAAGCTTGTAGGAGTTTCAAATTTAGCTCTAGGAGGATGCAGCAACCCTGACCTCTGTCTGGACAGTGCTGATTCACCCTGTGGTGATCACATGCCCCACCTGCACTCACTCCCAAGATAAAAAAAAAAAAAGCTCACTAACATACAAACCACAACGGAGCATGTATGCATGGGTGACTCCACACAATATGTCTTTATGCAGGATGATAAGAGGAGGACACTGGAAGAAGGGCGAGGATCGAGAAGTCAGTGTTTTTACACATCTGCAAGAGGATCTATTAAAACCCCGTCTACAACAGGTTCCACAGTGAGTTAAAACAAACATCCTTTTACTGCATATACAGACTGATTTTACTGTTGGGGGGTTTATACCCACACACTTTAAAGGCCCACTTCCACAAAAACTAGAATTTGTATTTGGCGAGTTACTAGCATATCCATGTAAGCATTGTCATCTTAAGCACACCCAAAAAAGCCTATAAAAAGGTGCCAGGGGCATTTCATTGGGGCCCCCTACTGACCCAGGACCCTCGGGCAGTGCCCGAGTTCTCACATGGTCAGTCCGCCTCTGGGTCATACAAATTTGTCACTTCGGTGCTCAAGACAATGGCAGGACCAAACGTGTGAGGGGTTCTGTTTGGAAGTCACAATTATAACAGAACACACAGGGACCAGGATGAAAGGCACAGCCCTGCTGTAACGATTTCATTCACTTGTCAGAATGGAGATGAGTGTAGCTCTATATTTAGAGAAAGCAGCTGTGGCTCTGCTGACATCATTTCTAACGACTCGGCCAGAACCTTTAAACGTTTTATGGACCGTAATGCCACAGATTCAAATAAACCGATCTTTAAACTTGGTAGCCGTGTTATGGTATTTTTCCGATCGTTTACTCCAAAACACTTTTTGTTTTCCAAGGTCAGCTGTTAAATATAGCACAGCGGTGGTGTGATCTGTCACTCTTCCTGAGTTTTACAGTCATTCATTAGGATGGTGAGAAGAGATCTGTGTAACCACTTAAGCTCCAGAAGGTTTTACCGCCTTCGTGACCGGGCCATTTTCTGCTATTCTGCACTGCGCTACTTCAACTGGTAACTGCGCGACCATGCTGGATCTGTTAATCCAGCGAAAGTGCTGACTTCATTTCCGAGATCTCTGGTGTGATGGACCCCTCCCCTGCCTGTAAAGCCAACTCAGCAGATCATCCCGGAGCCTTGACCCCTCCTCTGCCTGTAAAAGCCATCCAGCAGCTAGATCATTTACCCCTTGGATGGCTTTTACAAAAAAAGCCCCCCCACTCCCACCATTTGCAATCATTAGATGTACTTAGGTGATTGGTTAAAGCAGAGAAGGGGAATTTCTACTTTGTCCCCCGCTCCCCTAAAGGATTGGCACCTTTTGGAGAGTGGGTTCCCAAACCCCCCCACTCCCACTGCAATCGCCGGAAGTTGTCCTCCCCCCCCCCCCCCTCCCCATAGTCTTCTGGTACACGTGACAGGTCCCAGAAGACTACGGGGCCATTCACAATGTGGGCACCCAGCTATGACAGCTTGCGGCACCAGGTAGAGAAGATGGTCAGTGAAACCAGCTGTGGTAAGGACAACCGCTGGACCAAGGGACTGAAGATGCCGGCACCAGGTAGAGAAGATGGCCGGTGAAAGCAGCCGTGGTGAGGACATCACTGGACCGAGGGACTGAAGACGCCGGGCAGCGGGTAGAGAAGACAGCCAGTGAAACCAACTGTGGTGAGGACACCACTGGACCGAGGGACTGAAGATGCCAGCACTGGGTAGAGAAGACGGCCAGTGAAACCAACTGTGGTGAGGACACCACTGGACCGAGGGACTGAAGATGCCGGGAACCAGGTAGAGAAAATGGACAGTGAAAGTAGCCGTGGTGAGGACATCACTGGACCGAGGGACTGAAGATGCCGCAGCGGGTAGAGAAGACAGCCAGTGAAACCAACTGTGGTGAGGACACCACTGGACCGAGGGACTGAAGATGCCGGCACCAGGTAGAGAAGATGGCCGGTGAAAGCAGCCATGGTGAGGTGAGAGGGACACCATGGCCGGTGAAAGACCGAGGACACCACACTGAAGATGCCGGCACCGGGTAGAGAAGATGGCCGGTGAAACCAGCCGTGGTGAGGACACCACTGGACCGAGGGACTGAAGATGCCGGCTCCGGGGAAGAAGATGGCCAGTGAAAGCAGCCATGGTGAGAACACCACTAGACCGAGGAACTGAAGATGCCGGCACTGGGTAGAGAAGACGGCTGACTTTAATGTTTTTATTTTTTCAGCTGGAACTCCGCTTTAAGGAACATAATGATTTTCACAGACAGTCTCAGCGACAACATACAGTATCAAGGCATATTTGGTTGTGGAATTGATTTTTTTATCTTTATCTTGGTTTATATACAGCAGCGCCCAAATCATTTTTTTTATTTTTTTTTTTTTTTTTTTTTAAAAAGTCCAAAAATGCTGGTTTGTGGTGTTTTTACCACGTTTTGCCGTGTTTCTCAGCATTAGAACGTTTTTACAGCTAAAAAAAATCCTCTAGAAACCCACTAGTCCTGGGTTTTTTTCCTGCCAAAAAACGTCCCAGCCAAAAAAAGTTTATTACAGTCTATGTGTGCATGGACACAGGATAACATACTGGGGGGTTTACTAGCTTTAGAAAAAACCATCAAAAGCCAAAAAACAGCCACTGTAAAAGTGTGCATGAGGGCTAAACATTCTGCACTTAAAAAAAGGCACTATCAATATAAATTAAAAAAAAAATTAGATTACAAACATCACTGCTGAAACAAAAATCTGTTTTTATTGGAGAGCCTTGCAGAAAAAAAGCTGTTTTAAAAAAAAAACAGCACTTAAAAAAACCCTGTCAACATAAAACAAAAACCAATTTACCCCCAAAATAAATGTAAATCCCCCTTTTTAGGAAATCCTAAAAAGTTTGCTATAGATGAGAGAGCACCTAAAAGTGACCGCTGGCTTCTAATCAACCACAAAATAAAATGAACAATAAACAAGCTAATAAAAAACAAAATATAGTTCCTTGCAGCAGCTTCCAAATTCAAATTCACTATGGCTGCTCTGTGCCTCCATTTTAAACTGAGGAGATGGCTTAACCAAAACACCCTTATTGGCTCTTTTAAGCCTACTGGTCATAGTTCAAAGGCCATGCAGTACATTATACAAAAAATGGCAACTGTTCCGACCAGGGGTGGACTGACAACTCATGGGCCCCCGGGCAATAGGGGATCATGGGGCCCCTGTGTCCTTGCCCAAACTCAAAAAAGTGCCCAACTTTCCAAATGGTCAGTCCGCCCCTGGTTCCGACCTATAGACAGTCTTAGCAGTAAGGTGCACATGGAAGGGCAATACACATCACAAACAAACCTCTTAGATTGGAAGCTCCAAGGAGCAGGGCCCTCCTAACCCTCTTGTATTGAACTGTATTGTTGCTGTATTGTCTCCTGTTATATTGTAAAGCACTGAGCAAACTGTTGGCGCTATATAAAATCTGTATAATAATATAACAATAATAATAACAAACATTCCCAGCAACACTTACAGTCAGCCTGCAAAACAACCAATTTGGCCCTGTCTAACAGTTTGCATTTTCATGTGCACCTTACTGCTAAGGCTGGATATAGGTTGGGACGGTTGCCATTGTTTGTGTAGTTGGCTAATTTGGACACAAGGACGCACTGGATGCCTTTGCTGCCATTTGGTTTAGTTGGGTCTCCATTTGCGTCCCTGTACCTTTAACCCCTTGGCGCCGGCGCCTCCCAGCCCTTTAAGGGTTTCAGAAGCCGGGAGGTGGGGCGGGGTTTTATGGTCATATGACGGAGGTCACATGATCAGGAATGGTCCCGATCAAAAGAGGAGATCGGGACCTTTCTGTGAGTACCGGACATGTGTTCTGGGAGCCTAGACGCCGGCAGGAAGAGGTTAAGGAGGGATGGGCTCCTCCAGGCACACCCGTCCTCTACCTATCCATTGATACATGTGCTCCTACTATGGAGGCTTTGGAAATTTTAGTTAGGTCCACATTATACAGAAGGCCCTTTACGTGGGACTGTGGCTTACGCATGCATTTGCAAATGTGTGCAAACAAAACCCTCTGTTTTTAACTCAAACTGTTGACAGGGCCAAATTGGTTGTTATGTAGTGCATTATGGTTAAAAATAAAGGTTCTCCCAAGGGAATCTGCACATAAATTGGCTAAGACCACGGTTCTCCAACCAACAAGATTCACTTTGATCCCATGTTAATGGCAAACCTGACTCTCCTCCCTAGTTCTAGATAAAGCCAGGAAAAGTAAGGCGTAAGCAATCTATTGCCATCCCACTGTTGCTATCTGACCAAATATATTCCCAACACATATCAAAACCCTATTGTACTTTACAGTTGTTTTTAAAGAAATAAGATCAGCTATGGTGCTTGCTCTATTTTTTCCTAAGTCGTGATCATCAACCCCCTGCACAGGCAGTTATAGTATGTGTGTGGACATCATCACTCCTAGTGATGTGAACATCCTCATGCAAACAATGAGTCCCAATGCCCTCACGGAATGTGGCCAGTAATTGAGCATAGGGGTATGTCAGAGCTCTTTTGCAGATTCCACAGGCAGAGCGAAGGTCCCCCAGGCAGGGTCTGTCTGACACATGGGGGATTTTTAAGGCAATAGAGGTTAGACAGTGAATTCCTATAATTTATTGATGTGCCCTAAATAAATTGCCAAGGTTTTCATGAATGATCCAGATGGGCTTTAAAACATCATCTGCCACCACTTTCTTTTTATTTTCAGTTACATTTTTAATTATTACTGATGATGTACCCTCTCAAATGGTGTATCCCAAAAATAACAAAGAAATGGGGACCAAATGTATACTCATTTGTATCTTTTATTTTTATTTTAAAAATATATTAGTTAGGCAGTTTACAGACTCTGCATACTTCTTCACCAGCAGGAATGAGCCTTCCCGTAAAGAGAGAAACTATAATGAGAGCAAAACTTTTGGGTCCCCCTAATTTCCTGCACAGCCAGGCAACACGCATTTTTGCATTTTCCACTCTTGCATCCAAAGTCAGTAAACAATCCATGAGTTTGGTTTTGTAGTTTAACCCCTTGCCCTCAATAGGATTTACCCCCCTTCCTGACCAGGCCATTTTTTTCAATACAGCGCTGCGTTACTTTACCTGACAATTGCGCGGTCATGCAACGCTGCACCCAAATTAAATTTACATCCTTTTTTTCGCACAAATCGAGATTTCTTTTGGTGGTATTTGATCACCAATGCAATTTTTATTTCATGCGCTATAAACAAAAAACCCTGACAATTTTGAGAAAAAACTATATTTTTTCCACGAATAGAGCTTTCTTTCGGTGGTATTTGATCGCTTGTGCGTTTTTTATTTTTTGCACTATAAAAAAAAAACAATATTTTGGACTTTTTGCTATTAAACATGTCCAGTAAAAAAATTTTAAAAATCAAAGTTCGTCATAAATTTAGGCCAAAATGTATTCTGCTCCATGTCTTTGCTAAAAAAAAATCCCAATAGGTGTAAATTAATTAGTTTACATGAAAGTCATAGCGTTTACAAATGGCGGTATATATACTGGTTCTGCTAGTTGGGTCTGGTCAGTGTGCTCTGCTGCTGGCACATTGGTATAGCTCCCTCTCCATCCAGAAGACTTGAGAAGTTTCTGAATGAGAGGTATGAAGCTATGCAGATGCCAACATGAATATTGATACAGTCTCAGCCAATCCCAGGGAGTCAGGCCCTGAGGCATGCTGGGTAAATGTATATATCCAGAGAGCACACTGGGCTCTGGTTCTTTCCTGCCCAGGATTGATTCAGCTTTGGGAGAGGGCACATTGCCCTCCCAGGCATCTGCTGCCAAAGGCCTGAGGTGGGCAACCTGAGGATCTGGATGCTGAGACCTGGGTTCTACTAAAGCTGACAGAGGGGACGTCTACTTGAGATCTGGTCTGGTATCACAGAGGAAGGCTGCCATCTGCTCTCACGCCTTGTGAGTACAGACAACCAATAGAAGACTGTATGCCACTTAACCCCACCTTGGGTGCTAGGAAGTCAGCTGTTAGGCTACGTTCACACTAGCGTTGTGTGCAGGCGGCAGAGAGGCGTTTGGGAAGCGTTTTTACCGCTTCCCAAACACCTTGGACAATTCTGCACATTGCAGCACATGGCAAAACGGACGCCTCTGGTCGAGTCAGGAGGCGTTGAAGCCTCCTATTCTAGTCTATGGTGCCGCTCCGCAAACGCCCGTCTGGCGTTGCGGGGCGTTTAAACTTCATTATAGGCATTTGTGGGACATTTTTAACACTCGACAAATGCCTAGCAACCGCCACTAAACCACATGCGGCGTTTGCGGAGTGTTACAAAACGCTGCGCAAACGCCAAACCAATGCTTGCCAAACGCTATAGGGGCGTTTGGCAAGCGTTGGTAAAACAGTCAAGTGTGAACGAGCCCTTATCTGGGCTAAAGGGGTCATTGGCTGGTGACCCATAGAGCATTGTCCATTTAACTTCTTGTCACTAAGGACTCTGCTCAAGCTTGCTATTACTTTGCTACTGTTGTCTCAAGCTGAAGTCTTTTGTTTGCTTCAATCATGGACTTTGTTATAGCTTATCCAAGAGATCACCTAAAGTCCTCAAGTGTATTTAGTTCCTAAATCTGGAATATCCCGTTTATATCCCTAATCAATATCTAAGGGATCCTCCAAAAAATAAAACAACAAAAACAACACCCCTAGACTGATTATTGAAGGAAACGAGTGAATGTGCTGTATGCTTAGCTGTGGAGCGAACATTGTGGGGAAGCCTGCACAGTATTCACGTAACTCCTATGGGAGTAGCACTACAGCAGTAAAACAGAACAGGAAAACATGTGAAAGGAAGCTGACAGCTCCACCAGGTGATGCCTGTAAACATATATACTATTTTTTATTGAAACACAGAATAATATTTTAAGAATTAATTTTTTTAGAGCTGATCATAAGAGTAAAAAAAATCTACATTTTATAGTAAAAAATGGCATATAAAATATGATTTCAAGAATTGACCCCCAAACCATTATAGTTTAAAGTGTTTTTTACACTTTTAGATTTTTTTAAATTCTTAAATGTCTCTAAACAGAAATAGATGTCTGTGCCTCCACAGACACAGACAGACAAAATAAAGTGTATTTTGTCATGAAACAATGTCTTCTGTAAAATACAGGGACACAGTTTATTTAAGTTACAATTGCACCCACAATTAAACATTTGTTTGGCTGAATGTACTAAAAAGCAGACTGTTTAGTTTTTGGTCACCTTCCAGGCCTTTGTATTTCATTGTATTTGCAGTACTTTTCACTGTTCTGTGACTCCACTGTCTGCCATATTGTCTTTGACATGGACTCTTAGCAATCTGTGTCACAGGAAACAGCAATCTTTAATATCATCACAAAAAGAAATGATGTGTGGCTGCAGAATGCTGAAGTATCTTGGCAGAGCCTAGGTATAAGCTGCCTATTAACTAGAGGTGTTTGTACGTTATGAGCTGTCATGACATCCAGTCAATGCTGGACATAAGCTCAGTCACCATCTAAAATAATCCCTTTGTATGCAATTTATGATAGAATGAACTATGAGGAATCTAGAATATGAATTCTAAACCCTTGATGATGTACACTCACCAGCTACTTTATTAGGTACACCTGTTCAACTGCTTGGTAACACAAATTGCTAATCATCCAATCACATGGCAGCAACTCAATGCATTTAGGCCTCTAGACGTGGTAAAGTTGACTTGCTGAAGTTCAAACTGAGCATCAGAATGTGAAAGAAAGGGGATTTAGGTAACTTTGAACATGGCTTGGTTATTGGTGCCAGATGGGCTGGTCTGAGTATTTCAAAAACTGCTGATCTACTGAGATTTTCATGCACAACCATCTCTAGGTTTTACAGAGAACGGTCCAAAAAAGAGAAAATATCCAGTGAGTGGCAGTTGTGTGGAGAAAAATGCCTTGCTGATGTCAGAGGAGAATGGGCAGACTGGTTTGAGATGATAGAAAGGCAAGAGTAACTCAAATAACCACTTGTTACAAACATGGTATGCAGAATACCATCTTTGAAAGCACAACATGTTGAACCTTGAAGCAGATGGCTACAGCAGCAGAAGACCACACCTTGCTCAGGGATACCCTCAGGCAACTTGATGAAGAGAAGAAATCATTTGGAGTCTGTACACCTAAGAGTCTTTAGTGCACTTCAAGAAGAGATTGTTGCTAACTGAAACTTTGTATATAGGTGCTAAGGAGTTGTCCTCAAGTCCTACAGTTCCTTGGGCATCCCATATACTCCTAGACCCCATCCATGTTCAACCCCTTAATGAAAAACACAAAGCCAAGATCAAGGACTGTTCATTGACTCGAGTGTGCAAAGTGTGCAAATGCATTTTGCCTGGCCATGCCAAGCATACTAGGACCCAATTCAAATCCAGCGGGTCTAAGGGATTAGTACAACATTTACTAATAGAAAAATTTAAATCAAGTCCTATGATGTAAATCCACTATCAATACCATTGTCTAGTGTTGTAAATTCAGCATCAGTCATGCCAACCTGATGCCCAGCAATGTTTCTCCATCCCCATCACTTTAGTTGCGGCTTAGCCGCTGGGCCCGCAGAATAGGAGTGGAGTTAAGAAATGTGAGTCTAGCCTTGCTTGAGGTGACTGTAGCTGTATCAGTGCACTTGCAAGAGAAACAATTGAGTACTGTCCATGATAAATAGAAAAAAGGATCATAGACAGTACTCATTTGTTTCTGACTCTAGCCTAAAATGATCATAAATGTTTTTCCTCAGTTTGAACCACCTTTGCATTGGCTGCTGTGCCATCACTAAAATATTACATTGGTCCATGTCTTTGCCTATGGATGACAAAAAAAGGCCACCTATCTGTTCCCTCTTCAGCAGTACATACCAGGGGCGGACTGACCATTTGGAAACTCGGGCACTGCCCGAGGGCCCCGGGGTCAGTAGGGGGCCCCATGAGATGCCCCTGGTACCTTTTTCATAGGCTTTTTTGAGTTTGGGCAAGGACATAAGGGCCCCATGATCCCCTATTGCCCGGGGGCCCCATGAGTTGTCAGTCCGCCCCTGGTACATACTCACCTTCCCTTACTCCTGGGCTGCTTCATTCATCCACCAAAGTGAAATTTTCCATGTGACAGAGCTAAGTGTCTTATCACTGGCCCAGTGTTCTCACATGAGGCTGGAAGAAAGTCCATAGTCCTGTGTGAGCACCAACAAGTTGGACTGGAGCTTACACATAGATGACTTTCTACTGTCATGGCAGTTGAACAGCATAGTGAGGGGCAGGGGAAAGGTGAGTATGTACTGCTAGGGATGGGGTGGGGAAGGGGGTTAAGTGATCCCTTTTCTGAGACACTGTAAGTGTAGTCATTGTTCACTGATCTGTTCACAATCACCTCCCAGAATCTGTCAGCAGGTGCTGTGGAAGCGTAGAATAGACTGACATAAGTTAGCCTGATGCTTGATGTGTTTCAAAATGTACAATATATATATATAACTATTACTGGTATTTAGCCAGGTGCTGACTATGTCATTATATTATTCAGGGACACTAACAGGTGAGATAATGGCTAGTCCTTTTCCTCCTAGTGCCCAGTACTGGAACAGCTACATCACTTCCTATTAACAGAGTGGATCCAATTCTTCTGACAGCAAAGAATCTTGGTACCTGTAGTCCTATAGCCAACACATACTGTATTCCTGAGTGCTGATTGAACTACACATACCAGACAGCTGGAGAACGAGAAAGATGCTGGGAAAGCAGATATATACAGTAAGGATATGGCTCTTTCTCTTGTCACAGGATTCAGAGCTTAACACAGGAGGACTGCTGTTCTCCTTCAGAGACAGATTGCTGGCCTAGCACTGTGGGACTCTACACATCATTTCAGCACAGCGATGATGCCAATCACCACCCTGGGATCACATCAGCCTTCTCTGCCTCGGGACTGTTACTGTTTGGTCCTCAAACAGACATCACTGCTCGCTGCGCTGACAGGCTATCAGGAGGTAACTCTGCAAATCCTTGCAAACAGTCAAGAGCCTGTGCAAGAACTCTTGTTCCTAGGAGGTTGTGTTATCCATAGGATTGGTGAGCGTACGGAAGCCCAATGTCAGGGCTCCAGGTATGACCAGAGGTGTGTGGACCGACACAGGGAAACACAGAGTTCAGGTAAAGTGTGTAACACAATATAATTTATTAAAGACAACACAAACATAAACGCAGTGCAAAAAATCAAACTCAACACTTACATAAATATGTACAACCAGGTGCAATAAACCTTAAACGAATAGGTACAAGGCAGTCAGGGCTGGAGAGGTGGAGCGGTCAGGCAGGCCGAGCCCACAGCACGGATTTCCTCAGGGCACAGGGTCTAAGTCCCAGCCTGCTATTCACCAGGGCCCCTGATGGTGGGGATGGACTTGATGCAGACTGGAACCAGGTCGCGACCCCTGAGTGCGTCCGGCTGTGGTAGCGAGTACTGGCAGGGGAGTGCAGGAACGGTGTCTGATGGGAAGAGGCAGGCAGACTTACTAGAGGTGATCCGTGCGGGATGGATGGATCGTCGGGTGAAGTAAGCGTAGTCAGACAGGCCGGGTCGGTATCGTGCGGGCAGCGTGGTACAGGAGGAGCAAGCAGAGAATGGTCGGGGTCACAAGCCAGATTAAGCAGGTAGCGGGCAGCGCGGTACTGAGGATCAGACAGAAGGATGGTCAGGCAAGCCAGGGGTTCAACAGGAGACGGTCAGCAGAGGTCAGGATCAAAGCAGGGTCAGTAACGAGGCAGGAACACAGAATACCATGTACAGGGGCTCATGGGAAAATATACACCAAGGCCCAGATTACAGGCCTGGTCATTCCTTAAATACACCTCCTGCAATCAGCCCAGGTGTTGGCTGACTACAGGAGTAAGCTTCTGGCTGCTGAGAGCACCCACTGGTCAGCCCTGGTACTGCGGCACGGCAGGTGAGTCCCACCACCAGTGCTGAGTCACCCACCCAACCTCTTCCTGTCATCTTACTAGAGACACTGTATGCAGACACCTTTCCACCTCAGGAGACCTTTGCTTTGATCAGTACCACAGCCTATCTGTTTAGCTTTATTGAATTACCAGTATTCACTAATGTTTATGGGCCCCACTATTGCTAGCAGAAGAAAGCGGGCACCACCATAACTTTAACTCTTAACATCATAGGAAGCTGCAATCTCACCTTAAAGGGGTCTATTCCTTTCTAAGGCCATTTTTACTCAAACTAGGGTACCTTCATATATTTATGCCAGAGTATACATTTATCTAATTCTCTGTATACCCTGTGTAGCATGGATGGCTCAAAGGGAGCTGATAAGTCAACAAGTCATCTCTTTCCCCTCTTACTGCCAGTGTTACAGTTAAGTTGACGCTTACTTCTCATGACTGCATAACCTGTTAAACGTTGCTAATTGATTGTTTCTATTTTACCAGTGTTCTGCTTTTATGCATTAACTGGGGATGTATACCCTAAACCCATTATTCCTGTGGTCTACTATTTTTAACAAGTCTAAAATAGAAGTGTTATTAAAGAATTGTGTCTCTTGCATTATTATTCTCTACAATGTAAATATGTCTGAACCCAGAGTGTCAGAGGTATCGGGAGGCTTGCAAGATCAGGACAACCACTGGGGACAAGCATTATCAGGGGTAGCGCTACAATTATAGGAAATAAAACTGCCTTTGGAGATCAGCAAAGACTTTTTTCATATTGGATTAACTTTCAAAAGTCTTTTTTTTGCCTCAACTGAGGGTTAAGACTTCTGAGGATGCAATAGGGTCGATTTACCAAAGGCAAATAGGCTGTTCACTTAGCAAGGGAATTGCACATTGCAAAAGAGTTTTCCACAGAGTTTAGTGAATGGGGTTTAGTAAATATACTTGCACATGATTGGATGATGAAAGTCAGTAGATCTTCATCTCATTCACTAAGATCTGAGGAAAATCCCATTGCAGTTTGCAGCTTCCCTTGCAAAGTGAATAGTTTATTTGCCTTTAGTAAATCGGCCTCACTGGGCGCAATTCACTAAGCCGTATCTAAAAAAAAAAAATGTTTGAATTGACAAAAATAACGCTACTAAAATACTGCAGTAGTTATTTTATCAAGTCATGCGATATTTTAGTAGTGAAAACCATGTGTTAAGTTTTCAGCTGTCAGGGGGCTTCCCCACTGACAGCTGAATGTAAAAGAAAGAATTGCCAGCAATGAAAGAATAATAAAAAATGGCGTGGGGTCTCCCCTCCATCCATACCAAACCCTTTGGGTCTAGTATGGATTTTGAAGAAACTCAATGCCAAAATTAAAAAAAAAAATGTTGTGGGGTCCCCCCCTAAACCCATACCAAACCCTTATCCGAGCATGCAGCCCGGCAGGTCAGGAGAAGGGGGGGGGCAAGCAAGTGTTCCCCCCTCCTGAACCATACCAGGCCACATGCCCTCAACACGGGGGGTGCTGTGGGGCAGGGGTGCTGCCCCCCCAAAGCACCTTGTCCCCATGTTGATGGGGACAAGGGCCTCTTCCCCACAACTCTGGGCTGTGGTTGTGGGGGTCTGCGGGCGGGGGGGCTTATCGGAATCTGGAATCTTAGCAATGGGGCCCCTAGATCCCCCCTGCCATGTAAATGAGTATGGGGTACATGGTAAAATTTCGGGGGTTCCCCTCAAAATCCAAACCACATCCGAAGGGCTTGGTATTGATGGAGGGGGGGACCCCACGTCGTTTTTTTATTATTTTCTAACTGCCGGTAATTTTCTTTTGTACATTCAGCTGTCAGTGGGGAACCCCGCTGACAGCTGATGACTCATAGGTTGTTAGGGACTCGGCGGCCACCCATTCCTTTACAACCCATGACAGTACTGACAGATACCAGTACATACCGCATGCCTGGACCACTACTTGATTACCGCATGCATTTAATTATTTATTTCCTTTTGTGAATTGACTTTACAGTGGAGTTCCACCTGAAAACAAAAAAGTCAGCAGCTACAAAAACTATAGCTGCTGACTTTTAAAATACAGCCACTTACCTGTCCCGGGGTCCAGCGGTATTTTAACCATGGCTGGTTTCACCGGCTGTCTTCTCTCCCTGGCGCCGGCATTTTCAGTGTGGGCACCCATCTGTGACAGCTTTCAGCTTCACAGCCGGGTGCCCACTGCACATGCGCGATAAGTGCTTGTGAATGGCCCTATAGTCTTCTGGGACCTGTCACGTGTCCCAGAAGATTATGGGGAGAGAGGGGGGAGGACAATTTCCACTTCCGATCGCCTAGGCGATTGCAGAGCAAGTGGGAGCAGGTACCTGTCAAATTCGGGTACCTGCTCCCCCCCTCTCCCTAAAGGTGCCAATCCTTAATGGGGAGCGGGGGGCGAAGGCTTAAAGCGGAACTTCCCCTTTTGGGTGGAGCTCTGCTTTAAGGTCTTTTTATGTGGTATTTACCGAGTGCTTTTGCTATTTTCGATAAATACTGCATACTAGCAATAGTAAATTGACATTTTCAGTATTGCATGTGATATGTGGTCATGTAACTGACTCAACTCAAGCTTTAGTGAATTGTGCCCAATGTGTTTATAATTTTTGGAAGAACGTGTTGGAAATGTGTGTGTTTTTTCTACTAACTATTAACTATGGGTGTTGTAGAGCATACAAGGTACTCTGACTAGCACAGAAAGTTTTCTAAGCAGTGGAATGATACGTGGAATCTTCCCAAGAACACAAGGAATGATGAAGAAATAAAGTTAATACAAGTCTCAGACCCCCTGAAGTAAAAGTAAACTTTCTGAATTCAAAAGGGGAGCAATACATGATAAGAAAATTAATTGTTTTCGACAATGTCAGGTATGTTCTTTCCCGACCCTCAACAATGTGGGAGAGTTGTGTGTCTCTTCATAAATGGCAACATATATTGTCTTGTTGTGCTTGGCTAAATCCTTTTATTTTTATATTGAATGGAATGACTTTTTGATTACATTAAGAAATGCGTAAATGGAGCGTTCTGCTAACACCAGTATGCCATATTCACAGAGCCAAATATTGCACATAA